GTACGAAATCTCAAACAGCTGTCAAATTAAGCGGAAATATTATATTCATTTTATGTATCTATATATGTGTGTGTGTCTACTTTCTAATGGAATTTTGTATGAAATACATGATATTTTAATTTTTGTATAATATTGTCTGGAGGGCTTTTATTATACACCAAAAGTTGTTAAATGAATCCCAGTAATGAAGAGATAGATAGATAGATAGATAGATAGATAGATAGATAGATAGATAGATAGATAGATAGATAGATAGATAGATAGATAGATAGATAGATAGACTCATATTTTTGTGTATTGGATATTTGCTTTTAGACAAGTCTTCATCTGAATCTCATCCCCCTACATGGCCTGTTACTTATCTCACCTACTTGTCTAATACAGTATATACAGAAGGTTTACTTTAATTTAGTTAAAGTATTAAACATATGATGTGGTTGTGTATGCAATTTAATGGTCTTGTAACTACTAGCTTGCAAAATGCATACGATTAAAATTGGGATTACTTTAATACCAGGGTCCAAGCAGAGAAACCAGACACAGGAATGTTAAAAGGCCGTCATCATTCTGACATGCATCATTGAAACTCACTTGGGCGCAGATGCTTTGTTTTATACTGCTAACGCCTGTAAGCATTTCTGTGTTTTGGTGTGGAAAACATGAAAGACAGACTTCTGAATCTCAATATTGAATTGTGTGTGTGTGTGTTTTTTTTTAAAGATGCCCCAGACATATCATGTTCCTCTTTGTATTTGCTGACCTCTGGTGGTAAGACAGAAATATATTCAAAATAGTGGGATGCATTGGTTTAATGCTGCTTTCCAAGTATCGAATTTTACCCTATTTCTATGGCTTCTCATTTACTGAAAGAATCTTAGGTTAATTTCTTAAATGCTCGACTGGCTATATATTACTGAGACAAATTGTCTGAAAAAGCATAGCTGTAGTATGTTATGATTACAGGACTAGATACATACGTATTGTACAAATTATAGTGGCCAAGCAAACTCATGTTTCATTCTTATTTATATGTGCATATTATTTTCTCATATAAGCTATTGCTTATCTTTTGGCACGGTTGGTAGTACTAATTATAAGGTGGCAGTGTTTTTTGATTGTATTTCATTGACTATGAAACAGAAATACAAGTGTAGTCTGACCTTTTTCTTCACTAATAATTTTTTTTTAAAAAACGACAGGACTCAAACAGAGAAATTCACATAATATCTTACGCTCGATAAACAGAGTATTTTATAAACAATTCACAGTAGCAGTAGTGAAAAGCACAGAACAGTAGGATTGTGAAACCAACGGATTGATTTACTTTCCAGTGCAGGCATCAAGCAAAAGGGATCGTAAGTATTTAAATAAAATCGTTTAAACGAAGAGACATTTCAGCTTAGGCTTAAATAGGTGCCTGAAACAAAGCTAACTAAGGCAGCCAAAGGCATTAGGTTCCCAATCCTCGCCTTTAATCTGAATACTACTGCTCACTCAGCAACATTATTATCAGTATTTTGTTTATTTGTGAGGAAATAAACTGCAAAGATCATTTTACCAGACAAATTCATTAAAAATATAGTAAAAAGTTGTTGGCACACCACAACAAAATGTGCTGGGGGTGGTACCTTCTTCAGGGTATGATCAGGTATTTGAACCAACAATCTTTCAATCACAAATATACTTCTTTAACCATCAGGACACCATTGACTTGTATTGAAATGTATACATTTTTTTTTTTTTTTAAAGGCAGTCTGGTGTCTCAGAGGGTGGTGCTGTGGCACTTCCTGGGCTGAATCCCGCCTCTGTTCTGTGGTGGGGGTCGCGAGTCCTCCTTGTAACAGGCAAGTTGTCTGTTGTGACCCAAAGATATGTTGCTGTCCTATCTGGATCCCTAAATCGTCCATGTAGTGTATGTGCCCTGAGATGGACTGGCATCCCATCCAGGGTGTACCATAGCCTTGTGCCCTGTGAGGGACTGGCATCCCATCCAGGGTGTACCATACTCTTGTGCCCTGTGAGGGACTGGCATCCCATCCAGGGTGTACCATACTCTTGTGCCCTGTGCTGCCTGGTATAAGCTCCAGGCTCTCCTGTGGACCTGCTCAAGCTAAGTGCTTGTAAGATGGATATCATTCTTTATTTCAATAGTTGTAAGATATGTTTTTTGATATAATTGACCAGTTTAGTGGTGTTTCAATTGCCAGCATCAGACAGCCAGGTGACCAAGCTCTTGGTCATGAGCCTTCTACATGCATTTTTGCAGCCTGTGATGGACTTCATGGGCTTCAATCTATTAGTTTTAGTGACACCCTGGAAGCGAAAGGCCCTGCAGAGCGATTTCTCAAGCACACCATCTACAGCTCTTCTTGATGGGCACAGACCATGATTTTTACCCCGCCAGGCCATTCAATCCGACTCCCTTTCTCTCGCCGAACTCTTCCATTCAGTGTTCCCAAGGGACAGTAACTACCAGCAAGACCGAGTGCTTAGTTGTTTCTGACAAGAGTATGATGTCTGGCCTCTGTGTAGTCGCTGAAATGGCATCTGTGAGCTTAACATGCTTTCCTAGGGTCAGCCTTCAGTTGCTGTCACCAGAAGACCTGTTGTAGCTCTGGGCAGTAGCTGTTCTGACAAATATAATGGTCTTGCTGGGCTGATGTGCTTACGGTAGACTAATGTCACTATAGATAGAGCTTTCAGCACCCAGTTAAGGTGCCAGCAGAACTGAGCTTGTGGGTTTCTGCTGAGGATGTCCTCAAGTGTCCTTGCATTCAGCCATCCAGGTAATGATTCACTGACTTCACCCCAGAAAAACAGCTTGCATGGATTAAGTAGAATGTCGTATAATGTCTAGATTATGTGTTTGATTCTGTAAGGCTAATCTAGTCTTTGCTATCACTATGAGACGTTGTGAGTCACGATTTGTATCCATTTCAGTTTAGGCAGTTTGAGCAGCCTAAAGATGTAATGTTTGATGTTCATTTCAAAGCACTTCAAATTTTATAGACCAGTAGACGATACAGGATCTGTGAGAGGACACTGTATTTGTTAATACCGGTCTTTAACCTGATTTGGGATTATTCTTTCACTTCCATAGCTGAACCTTAAAATAACAAGCCTCACAATGACTGTTGTTAGCATCTGGAGTGGCTTGGCTGTGTCACATTTTGTTGTCACTTCAGGTATTCATTCTCAGACTCAGCTCTGCTCTTTCTCTTTGCTGGCTGAACACCAATTGACTCTTCTGATACTCTGCTTGGTGTTAGAGCTTGTAACCCTTGTAGTTTCAGGGGACTTTCCTCCCAGCCCCAGATATTATATAAAAAGTAAACAAACTATACTTAACCAATTTGGCCTCACTTTTTGGAACATGGATTTACAGTTTTTTCCTAACAGGATTTCAAACACATTTGCTGGATTAGTAAATGCTCCTCTGTACTATCAGGATCAGTCCCTGCCTTGTCCTGTTCTGTCTCACGTTTCTCTGTTTGGCCAGCGGATGCCGCTGATCATCTCGCTCTTTTCTTTGTGTTTCTCTAGTTTTAACACCAGTCTTAGCTCTCAGTGTTTTGCTTGTTCCCTGGACCACCACATGGCTGGATGGGCTGAGCGTGCAGCTATTAACACTGCATCCCATACCATGGACATTTTCAGTCTTGGGCTCTGGTTTTTGTAAACCCCATGTTAATTATTTGTGTTTATGTACTTCAGTATAGGTCCTTGTATCTGCCTTTGTTCCTGGTTATTCCTCCCTGTTTTCAGTTCTATAGCTTACATCCTGTAATCCTTGTACAGTATCTCCTGTCATTCCGGTAGCTCCTAGTCCCTAGTGTTGGAGTAACTGTCAATGACCCTGACCTGTTTCTTGTTTAGACGTCATTCTCTGTGAATATACATGTCTGCCCATGCCCTGTTCCTCTGTTCGTCATTGCATGTGTTACCTGCGAGTGTCTGTTACCCAAACATAATTCTGTTGGATGTTTCCCTGCTAAGTACCCTGTTTTGAATCCATGTGTTCTGTCTACAGTATGTTCCCTTGTTTAGTTAAGCCTTGCTAAATTCTTGTAGTGCCTACCTGCCTTTGTTTAGACCCCTCATGGTCCTTTTTGTTTATTGTTGAGTTCAGTTGGTAATAAACTTTCCTGGTCTGTACACCGCGTAGTGGGTCATCGTCCATCATGAAGTTTGCAACAAAAAAAAATCTAAATACAGCTATTTAATTATAGTTTATTGTAACACACAGCGGAAGCTTAGAAGAAATTCTATACCGGATAGCTAACTTCTTATGATGTATGCATGTAGTCTGTGTGTATGGAGTTTCCATGTTATCCCCAGGTCACTTTCCTCCTGTAGTTCAAAAACATGCATTGAGGTCAACTGACCTGCAGCATGTGTGTGTATGTGCACTATTATGGACTGGCACCCCAATCTGGGTGAACCACTGCTATGTGATCTATGCTACCTATGACAGGGACCCCAGGTAAGCTGTTTAATGGATGCAGATCGCTTAGCTGACTATTTCATTGGTTGCTTAATCCTGGAAAACTGAAATATGCAACACATACTGGACAACGCTGCGAATACTTAAGTAAACGTCTCGAATCAGTTAAAAGGATTGGAGCTGTCCGCAGTGCTGAATTAAATGCGCAAATAAACACGACGGCAGAAAACGACCAAGTGCCGTATAAACACGTTTATATAAATTAAAAGGTTGACTACGACAGATATCTTCTTCCGACGTCTGTGAGGTGTATGTACCAAACCTTCCAGATTATTAAAATCTAAACAAATCAGCTATTTTTATGGCGCCCAGGCAATGGGGTTTACGGTTATAAATCACGCAGCGTTGTTATGCATTGTTTTGATTGCTATCAACTTCCCAATCGCAGCACGGCTTTTTCAACATGAAAGGTTTTTTTATTGGACAAGAGTGAGGATGTGTTGGACATGTGATTAAAGATGACCCCGCCCTCCCCCCAACCTTCAAGCGGAGACAGAATGAAAGGACCACATACGGAGATGATGCTGGAGCGCGTGATAGGTGTTCATTTGATTCGCTGTAAGACCTGGTTACGATAGTAGCGTTTAAAATGTGTTTAACTGTATTACGCTTTGGTATAGGGAAGCGATGGTACATTAATTTATAAAAATATAGCTATTTGTTTAACAACGCGATAAGGCGTTTTGCAATTTCACCACTAATCCTTTTGTTCATTAAATTTAAAAATCTATGCTTTTAGTTGTATTAAATAGTACTAAAACGCATTCATTTACTATCCTTAAAAGTGTAGTTTTGCAAAATGTTAACTAGGATTTGTGGTACAAAAATATATAAAGAAAATGAAGAATCTCTTACACATTAGAAGGTGCGGCCCTGTGGAAACTGATGCAATTATTCTAGATAAATGACCGTGAACGCAAGTGCTCAGAAATTAGTAATACATTTAATTTAAATTCGTGGCGGATTGGTTGTCAAGTAGTGATACCCAGACTTTAAGATAAACATACATTGCTCTGATTTAAGTTTTCGATTAAATAGAGCCTAAGATGGGTTTCATACCTGGCATGTGGTAAATATCTGGATTAAATAACTTTTAAAAGAATCGACGGTAGCACCGCGAGAACAACCTGCGGGTGATGCTCCATCATAGTATACATCAGCACCAAGCAGTAGTTTTCGTACATGCCTAGCGTCTGCAATGAAAAGTATGCGTGCTTTTAGATTTTTGGCTATGTGATTTCGCCGTGCACTTTTATATTTTTATTTTTTGCAAGAAGAAAGCGTTTGGGGAAAGGGTAATTGCGCTCGGGGAAGGCACGGTGCCGCCGGCAAGCATGCCGACTTCACGCTCCGGCGCCAGCGCAGCGGAATACTGGGTCGACGGCTCGCGGCGAGACGCCTCTATAGAGGATTTCTACATCATGGGCCCGGAATTAGGAAGGTACGGCAACCCCCGATCTCTGCCTTGCAGCTGCCCTAATTTCATGGACACTGGTGTGGAATGTCCGTTAATGTCCGCGCAGACGGCTCCTGCTGTATCCCAGATTACGTTATACGCTGTACCTGCGGCGTTTTCCGTACCATGTATGGTCCATGTTGCAGATCGAGCCCACACCTACAGGCAGATGTGCATACAGTGGAAATGCATTGCATTTTTACAAATTTCGACAGTTTTGTTATATAAGCCCTAGTCCGCTGCATTTATTAGTACAAGTAATATCACATACAAAATAACCATATATTACCTGTATAAAATAAGGTAAATAATTGAGGGCACAGTGGAGCAGGTGTGGATCCATTTTTTAGTTTATTTTTTGTAACAGTATTGAAACTTTTTTTAGTGATTATTATTGATTGCAACCGGAACACCGATCACTCAAGTTCATTCACTGCTCTTCTGGATTTACATGAGTTTATCACTCTTATCAACGTTTCAGTAATTGGTGATAGCAATCCGAAGAGTTCCCCTCACAATACAGGGTCTGCCCGCCATTTTGGGTGTGAAAAGATTATTTGAGAATGATTATATCTCTTCCTTTTATGAATAGAAATGCAAGGTTGGCATTAGGTTTTAGGTTAGGGTTTCTGTCGACGTTTGTTGTAGGCTGTAGATTCTTGCTTTTCAATTATCTGTCTTTGAAAGCAATAAAGTAAAACGCTGCATACAGAAAGGAAAGTTGTATAGTTTCCATAGGAGATAAATGTGCATGATCTTATATGTATAGATCTGCACAATCGATAATTGCTAAATTATTAGCGACATTACATAGCGCATACATAGTGCGATAAAACATATTTTATTAAACGCATTTTTTAGAGAGGGCTAAAACTACAGCAAACTAAGATTATATACATTTTAATATTTCTATATATAACTGCCATCAGGTCCAAAAACCTAAAAACGGAAACTGACTTCAAATTCAGACTGTTTTTGTTTATCTCCTATCTCGATCTGACAGTAATTCTGTTCATTTTCATGTTTATTCCCCCAATATGTCACAATACATTTAACTTAAGTGGCAGTAAGGAACTACTGAATGACAAGTAAGCCATTTTGACTTTGGACAGCATTAATGAACTTTCATTATGAAATATATGTTACTTCTATGTTACATTAACAAATGATTTTGAAAAAAAATGGATGGGGCTATTCTGTTCTTCGCTGATTATTTCTTTCAAATACAAAATGAAACATTGTAGCTTTCAACATCCTCTGAATTTACTGAGTGACAAACAGTTAGCAGTTTGATTGCATTTCGGGGGCTGACATGGAATCTCTCCTGAATTCCTCTTCTGCGATGTAGTGTTTGGCTCTGGCAAGCGGCTCTGGAAATGTTCGTGCTGCTGTTCATTCATTGTGGCAACCTGTCTCATTGACCTCGATCGTTCTGCTTTAGTGAAGGATACGATCAGCAGAGAGGGGAGATAAGAGCCCTGTCTTATTTTAGTCTGCATCTCGCTATCTCTCCTGACCATGATACCGGAGAGTGCATCTGCCCTTCTCTGAAGAGAGTCTCTTGTTTGCCTGTTGTCATGGGTTAGCATGTGTCTGCAGGATGGGGAGTCATTCTTACTGCCTTTGAAACCAAACAGCATGTCATGTGGACTAGAACAACAGTGACAGTGTCTGGAAAGTCATGGGTTTGAACCCCTTGGGCAGGGTCGTATTCATGTCACTGTTGGACCATTAAACAAGACCCTTAACCCCAACTGCTCCAGCGATTCTAGATACTGAATGATCCTGATCTCTGACTTCCTTCTATGTGACTTTGAACAAAATTGTCTACTAAATAAATACATGTAAATTTCCCACTGTATTTTGTTTCAGTTAACAGTGATACAATATTTTATTATTTAAATTGTGCATGAACTGTACAGTAAATAAACACCTGCTTGCAAACAATTTTGCCACAAAACATCGAAAAAAAAAGAAATGATGATTTTAACAAATGATGATTTCAGTATTTCCTCGTTTTCCTGGAAGCCCCTGTGCTTTGTTTATGTGTCAGTTAAAGGACATTCTACTTTTTAATTTCTGTATAATTCAATCAGAAGCCCATTTATCTACTAGCTCCTTCTGTTACCGTCTGCGAAACCTGGTACACAGAGTCCCCATGGTCCTCCCATATATGGATGAGAAGGGACACCAGGGTTTATGTTGTGGAGGAGCCATACTGGTTGCCAAGGGGATGCAGAGCCTTCCAAAGAAATAAAACGGATTGATGGAAGGAGAGGGGTCGAATTAGAGGGACATTGGGCGGCTAATATGTGAAAAATAGATGTTCAGATGTTTGATGGTCCTTTGTGGGTCTTTACAGACTAAAGGATGGTGACCTGGTGTTATTTATGAAAGGGGTTAGTTCTAGTCTACACTGAGTTTCCTGGTTGGGATTCCTCAGAGGCTATGGTCTGTCCAATGCTCTTCCTTATTCTGTGTCAGTAATGGCTGAGAAGTTTTATAACTGGGGAAAATATTTAGTGCATGGTCTCATTTTCACATTTTTAATCATTGTTAAGAAAAAAAATAGAATATAGATGAATTCCCCCATGCTTTATGCACTCCTGGCCAAGAGAAACCTTCATCATTGCTTCTCTGTAGAAGCAGATGCGTTTAATGACATATCCCTGTGGCTGTATAATTTTCCACAAAGGAAGATTTACACACATTGGATGTGACGTGATCCAGGCACACGAGGGTAACATTAAGTCAGCAGGCTCCATCTGTACTCTTTTATTTGTTGGCTTGTTTGTTTATTCTGTAGCTTTAAAGAAATGACCAAGAACAGCGCAGCGTGTCCTGCAAAGTGATCCAGATGTCCACATGCTTTTTGTTTACCTGTGCATTATCATAGTGATATCGTATGAGTCTGTAACACTTGCACTCTGTTTTCTTGATATACCAGATGTTAGTCAGTAAACAGTCCAAACTCCAGCGGTTATACAGCACATATCATGCAGAAAAATAGTTTGTTAACAGTTGCAAGAGTGATTTTATTTCTTCTCCAAGGGGGGCCACGTCTGTGGTGTTCCGGTGTGAAGAGAAGCAGACTGAGAAGCTCTATGCTTCCAAGATACTAAAGAAAACTGTAAGTAGTACCAGCATTGTAATGATTTTCAAAAGCAAGGCCTCAGCGTCTAATGTTTTTATTGCTGCGCTAGATTGACAAGAAAATAGTGAGGACTGAAATTGGAGTCCTGCTGAGGCTCTCCCATCCGAATATTGTAAGTACTGTCAGACTCCTTGTGAATACAAAACATCTCTTAGGTGTTTTTCGTTGGTGAATTCCAAGACTTTTAACCATAATATGGAGCTGGTGGTACGAGGGAAGTCCATTGTTTAGATTTTACCTTCTTGTTTCCCCTGGGTGTAAGATCCGCCTGAAGGAGATCTTCGAGACAGATACCGAGATCGCTCTGATCCTGGAGCTAGTGACCGGGGGGGAACTCTTTGACAGGTTGTTTCTATAAATACTTATGAACCTCACAGCCCAGTACCCTGGTTGAATATTATGGGACCTTAGTCATTTAGCTCTGTATCCAGTTTCATTACAGAAGCCAGTTCGTGACAAGTGCTGTATTCATGCTGTATTATAACTGGACTACAGAGGCTTCAGTCGAATGAAGAGTGAAATGTTTTCACCTTCCTTGCTGAATAACAGATTGCACGTTAATGCTTGATGCATCTGTCGTCAGAAACCACAATCCCTAAAAAAAACTTTGCACTAAATTCCGGTAAATTAAAAGCAATTTATTATAATATGATTGTCTTAATTTTTGGCCTCAGTTCTTAGGTGTAGCCCTATCATTTTCTTTTTATGCGGCCATAGGCTTTTACCCAGAATGCACCTGTTTGTCATCTAATGATTGGCTAGTTCTTGGATCCATGTTGACAGCACATGTGTTCCCCCCCTAGGATTGTGGAAAGAGGATACTACAGCGAGAGGGACGCTGCTCACGTTATCAAGCAGATTCTGGAGGCGGTGGCGGTAAGACCAGGACCGAGAGGTCGCTGATAAGCTCCTATGTGGAGTTTGTCTTCATGTCCTTCTTTAGATTTATATTGCAAAGTAAAATTACATCACCACCCTAAAAAACAGGGAAACAGAAGGGAAATTTTTAAGAAAATTTGAAGATATTTCAGCTCAGCAGGATTTTGAGGGTGTAAATTAGTGGTGCGATGAACATGACACAACTGTGGATAGAGGAATATGAACAGAACATTTCTTTATACAGTATCATACAAAAGTCAAAAGAAAGTCAATGGAAATGTTTAAAGCACGGCAATTTGAGTTCCATTTCTTAAATTAGTTTTTATTTTAATACTTTTAAAAAATGTTGTTTCAGTTTTGTTTCAGTTTTATTAGTTTTCAACCATTTTTATTTCAGTTTGCATTTTGACTGAGCTTCATAATGTAGTTTCAGTTTAGTTTTAGAAGCCCTCAGTAGATTGTGCTGATTGGGGAGGGTCCCTTCAGTAGTGGGGTGGTCAATTGCATGGTCTGGATTACACTATGTTTCATGCTATGATGCTAAAACAACATAGCTACAGACAGTCTACGAAAAGCAAATGTGAGTTTACAAAGGTTGCTGTGTGTTTTTATATGAGACTTTATCAAATATTTTCAGATTGTTAGAATATAAGACTTTGACCTGTGCAGTGTGTGGATGTACAAAAAGATTATTTTTGATTTGAAAACCGGTTCAACCAATTCACTGAAAAGAGCCAGTTTAAAGAAAACTTGGATCATTGACTTGGATAGCCATATCAGGTTGTAGTTCGCATAGTACTTTAATCTCTGACTGAAAATCGCACGAATACAAATGCGATTCTGCATTGTATTGGACTTGTATACTAATATATCAATTGCATTAAAACAGATTTGCGGTGTGATATCACACGTTACATCAGGACTGACTGTACATATTTTGTGTTACCCTAACCCTTTGTGTTACAGATAGATGCATATTAACTCTTATGGTTGCTAGGAATTAAACTTGCCAGGCTTATTGGAACAGATTAGCAAAATTACCTTACAACCAGTAGTCGAGTTGTAAAAACAAATCAGGGGGGATGGTGAATTTTATCGTTTATCAGACATATTTTGTGCTGATGACAGTGCACATGGTGGGAGACCAACTGTGTACCTTTTTTATTGTTGTTTAAGCAAAAACATAATTAATATATTCTACTATCCTAAAACAACATGCATGGTGTGGATGTTATGTGTCAGATTCAGGTTCAAGTGCAGCTTCATACTCATGGTACTTTGAAATCTTTTGGTAATTCATCCATTAAAATTCAAAACAAAACCTCAGAAAACATTGTAAATGAACATCTGAATCCTCTCAAGTCAGGTCAAGTCCATTTTAATTCAAACGCAAAAACAAAAGTATGAAACCATTGAAACAATTTACAAAATCATAAATATATAGCACAAACTGCGCTTTATGTGACTTACATAAAATCTCATAGAAGTTTCCAAAGATTTTCATAATCACGTTTTCCGGGCTCTTGCTTTTTTTTTCTTTTTTTGGAGTCACCGAGTTAGAGACCGTATCTTCCTTCAGTTATACAGCAACCGTCTCTCACGACGGCCAGGTACTCGGCCGTTTGGGTGTTTTCGGCACCAGAAGGAAGCCTACAAACGCAAAAGTGACGAATGTAAGTGACGAACAAAAGAATAAACGTAAAAGTGATAAGACTAGCGCAGACGGAACATGAAAAATAAATCCGAAATCGCGGGGGAGGCTTTTGGAGGTTGAATAGCCAAAGATCAGTTTTAAAAATGTTTAAAAATAATTTTAAAAATCGATTCGATCAGACTTTCGAATCGGTTCAACCCGTTCACTAAAAAAACGAATTATAAACATGTCACTGACTAGTACTGACCTCTTCTAAGTGGTGAAAGAGCCAACGAGATCTCTTATCCTCCACTGGCTGATCATCCAGTGCAATCATCTCATTGTAGGAGCGTCTTTATCTCTGGAGGTGCTAACTTTGAACACTGATAAAGTTTAAATATTGGCCAAAATCGACACATCAGTCCGATGCCAGTATGTTGATTTTTAATGAATAACGTCCCGATACTGATATTTTCACCGATATATTGTCTAGTGGTATCACCCATCCCTTCTTTGCATGAAACATGGTGCATCTTGTGAGGCCATATGTATTTTTGTTTATTTGAGATGCTTATCATAGGCTATGCTCAGCATTGATTCGTTAGTGGGGGGACATCTGGTAGCTAGTAACCAATAGGCAGTAGAGGTGCACCGATTTTATTGGCCAACTATCAGTATCAGCCAATCAGTCGATGGTTGAAAATGAGCTGATATTAATCACACACAATTCCTTTTAAAATGGTGACCCATAATGCTTTGCACACCTGTTTATTAAACAGTTAGTGCCGTGTGGAATAATTTGGTTAGCGAAAATGGCGTCACACATGCATTTTGCAAACATGGCTTTGCAAAAATTTTATAAGGAGGATATACTAATACACATTTCAACATCACGACAAATTTGATTGCTCATCTTAAGGCAAGACAGTGAAGAGTATGAAGAGTTTTTGAATAACAAATCCGTTTAAGAAGGCTGCAGTACTTCTGAATAACGCTAGTCTGTCAGTAAAGCAATTGTTTGATAGCAAAAGAAAATTCAATGCAGAAAGTATGAAATTTAAAGCTATTTATCTGGGTAGTAACTGTATATTTGCACAGAAAAATACACACAAATAGCACAATAAAAACTAACAGCAATTTCTATTGTTCTCCAAAAAGTTATTGATATCTTGCTGGATGATGAAAAGAGCACTGCTTCAGTTCCCAAACCTCTCCTCTGGGTGCACTTAAGCCATTCGATGTACTTGTTAAATTTCATCACAAGCTCACTTAATTAATTAATTTAATTGTTTAAAAAAGTCAATGAGGTATTGATTAGCCATAGGAGGTGAGCTGTGGTCAAGTAGAAAAATATATGGGTGTATTGGATGGTTGCTGCAAATTCTGGGGTGACTTTTGGAGATGTTTTGAAATGGTTAAACTAATGCACTTTTACAGACATAATATCGTAGTTTTATACCAAGCTGAAGATCATTTATGCATCATTTTCTTTGACTACCTCAGACTTTTGCAGTCTCACATTTCGTAACATGTATTTAGATTGTGGCAAATCCCTGTGCTGTGTTTTGACGGAAAAGCCTGCAGCAGTGAGAAGTTTTCACTCTGAGAGGTGTCCTGATGACCACATGCAGGCCAGCGAAGTGAACCTGTACTAGGGTGCCCAGGTCATAAATGTGGGTCACGTTTGTCGTCATGAATAGGAGGAGAGAGGCCAGATGAGCTGAAAATGTGAAATAATCCGCTTGTAAAAGCTTTCACATTTTTTATTCTGTTAATCCCCCATCCAAAAGAGTCAGTAGGACATCTGTTATGTAATGGTGTTACAGAGCATATGCTTCTGCGCTACACGCTCCGTGTTTTTTAACGCATGTCTAGCACTGCCATGCTGTCGATCCATCCCTCTCGCTACATTTTAATCTTTATTAGTCGTGAGCAAATATGTGCCTGCCTGCACTTGCACCCGGAAGAAGCTATGGCTTAGACACGCCCTGACATGCAGCTCATGAGATGTTGCCAGTTCCTGGGGGTGGATGCCGTTATCATAACGTGTGAACTTTTGATTTCTCAATAAATATTGGTTTCCGTTGGACAGGATTATCAGAACATTTCTAACCAAGCAAGGACTGAGGATGCAAGCAGAGCTTCTTAGAAGAGGGCAGGGTTTAAAGGTCAAAGAAGGTCTGATATACTTAGATGAAGGATTCGACAATGACTCGGAAATGGTCGCTATAAACCGATCAAACGACAAACAGAGGATCAGCAAATTCAAGAAAGACCACTAGATTCAATCCCATATTTTGTTTCCAGACAAACATCAACTTTGTCCCCAAAACATTCTGGAATCCAGAATGTCTGCCGGGATCCTTAAGAAGGTGACAAGGTTCTTAAAAACATCTCGCTTGACATGAAGTTGACAAGAGCAACCAGTTTAGGAGATGATCCTTGACATGGCAGCCCAGGTCAAAGAGATGAGACTGTCACCAAGAGAAAGACTACAGATTACTGAGTTATCTGAATGCAGCAAAAGGCAAGTATTTGAAAACCTGTCTGAACAAGTCAGAATGAAATGCAAGACTGTCCACTGTGGAATAATGGTACATTTTCTTTCATCCTTTTTTGCTATCAAGTATTTCTTTGATAAATTTATTCTTTGGAGATACTCAAGCAAGGAGGAACCAAAATAACGCTCACCACCATTATTTATGGCTTGTACATGGTCCTCATTAATCACAGATTCATCTTTGAATGGAATGAAGTGTAAATGGAGTCCTTACATCTGACTAATTAAGTCTAACCCTCATGTTTAATGAGTGGGATGTTCCGTCTGTGAGATATGGATGGAGTGTTCTTCACTGTAGTGAATGATCACTTTATGGTGAGGAGAACGACGGGGAGAGGGACATGGGCCTCGCCGTAGCAGCAGTAATTAAGACAGCATGATCGTTATTAAATAAATAGGCTAATTACAGCTGCCTCAGAAGCATGTCACAGCTTCCGATAAGTAGCTCTGCAAGATTATGATGTCATAATTACTATGTACCGTATAATAATGCTCACATTTTAATAACTATGTACTGTATCTTGGAGGAACAGATATAAAGTTACGTTTTTGTTTTGCCATGTAAAAAATGACTTAATACCAAACATGTATACGAAAGTTATCAGTTACCAGAATGTGGTAAACGTTTTATAAACTGGTTTAAAAATGGTTACATGTAGCTAAATGCAAAGATGCTACAAGGTTTGTATTATTTAAAGAGGAATAAATGTGATGTAATATTCCTACAAGAAACACATCAACCAGTTTCATCAACCAGGGTCCCCCAGATGTGGGAAAAGCATTGACAGACGGCTCATCAGGCCATATTACACCTTTTCCATTGCTCAAGGACAGAGGTCCTGTGGTTTCACGCCAGGTTATGTATCTTTCTTGGCCTTGGATACACATGCTTCCTAAATGGCAGCCCTGCCATTAATTCTAGCTTTGTGAAACTCACAATCTACAGCTTTTGTTGAGACACAGATCATAGTTTTTGAGGTCATACATTTATACGGTCTGGCCCGGTTGGTGAGCTTCAGCTTGCGACCACAGTTCCTCTTCGTCATTGTCCACGTTCCACAGACATTTTCATGGTTATAGAGACTGTTTGCTTTTGACACATCCAGTAATTTTGCAGTTTTCAGCAGATGTGCCTGCAAAATAGGCACTTATAACCTCTCTGAAAGCCTGATGTCACTTTCAGAATGTACATATCAAAGTCTGGATGCACCCTTTTTGTCTGATACATCCTGCTCATTAGCACTGAAGCGAATATGACTCACTTTTGTAGCTGAGTTTGTAAACGTGATCTAGTTACTTTTAAGATATCTTTCATCTGCCATTTCCGTTATTTTTGCTGACCCTGGATCAGGCAGGAACATGAAACCTGTAGTTAATGCCATAAATTACATGGTTACAGAATCTGCCGGTTTAAACGTTTTAAGGTTTTAGGGTAGTGTTTCCCAGTCTGGTCCTCAGGGACCCGCAGACAGTCGACCATAGGGAGCTGGGAGGGAGCAAAAATGTGGACTGTCTGAGGTGCCTGAGGACCGGGTTGAGAAACACTGTTTTAGAGGCATTTCTGGTGGATGGAACATTTGATTCAGGTTTGTAGTGTCAGAAATAGAGATGGTTACTTGTGGATAATTTCACAATAAAGAAATAGATTGTACTTTTTTACGCCACATGACTCAGGCAGTATCCCAGTTTACATTTCTAATTATGAAATGGATACATTTATGAAATGAATCCTTTTCCCCCATTTATGATAAATTGGGAAGAAATCAGTGTGCAGGACAAAATTTCTCTACTGAGTTAAAAGTAAAAATTTAAATAGAATCTTGATTTAAGTGATACAGACTGCGTAGACTCCTTGGGAAGTGTGGAAAGATGGGACAGGGCAGAAATTACAGAGGCTGCACATAGAGATGCCATAGGGGAGCACAAAAATGAGGAACGAGGACAAAAGCACAACGCTGCCTGCCGACTGAGGGGGGTGAAAAATCTCTCATAGGCACTTAACTAGATGGTCTGTGAAACAGAGGGAAGTTCACTCTACTTTCCCTGAAATGCTGTCAGAGGAATAATTCCCAGTAGGACTATAAGAGGGCCAAGCAGAGTCCTGTCAGAGGAAAAACAGCAGCTGTTAAGACATCTTCCAGAAGGCCTGCTGGGTGTAAAACCAGGACAAACATCTGTTAGAGAACCCAGTGCAGTTAAGGACCATAATCCATTAAAGAAACCCATTTAACATGCAATATATGAGGGTATTGCAGGATCTGCTTTCTGTGCAGGGAGAGAGGACCTGGAAACATGGTAAAGTGTAGGGAGAACTGAGCTGTCCACCAATCACTGGAGCTGTCGTATAATTTTGGGGCCTGTGGACTTCAAAATGCTGTAATAGCAAACAGGAAAGCATGTGTTCCTCACTGATGAACTGAGAAAACCTGGCAGAGATGACCAGAATGTAGGGGACTGTACATCCTGCAAATTGTGCATGATCTAAGACTAGTTTTGAGGCTAGGCATTGTGCACGGTAGTGATGTAATTTGTCCTCTAATGTATAAGATATAACTCACTTAATTTGCAGAAAATCCAATTGCTCATGGGTTGGTGCAACTCCTAGAGCTCCTAGTGAGAGAATTCATGACATGCACAATCTACACAGCCCCAAATTCGTGCAGATAATTGTGCCTAGGAGAGTCGTCTTTCCACAAGGAGAAAGCACACAAAGAAGCTAATTACTTACATCATGAGGAAACTCCCACATGATCAGAGCTGTTCAATAATAGAGGAGTGTCTAGCTAAAAAGCAGGAATCGCCTGTGATTATTTTCTAGTCCACAAGTTCAACTGGGAGCCAGACTACCAGACTCCCATGGCTGGAGAAAAAGTGGGTTTCTGGTGGTAGGGTTACAGGATGGCTTCATGCCAACTAAACGTTTGACATTGTCATAGGAGGAACAAAGAAAAGAAAGGCCACCAAGGGGACATTTAGAGCATACTCGCTAAAGACCTACACGAGTAAAAATTATTTACAAAAATCAATATGTCTCCTACTAATACCTCAATATACAAATTAAATAAAATTACCCAAGTAATGACTAGGATCTTGGAACATTTAAAGTTTAGTACAATGATAAAAGAAATATGTAAAGATTAGGGGGGTATCGATACAATCTCCTCTTCAGTTTGATAGCCGATTCAGGGTTACAGTTCAATATACTCACAATATAGTCAACAAAATAAGACTGAAAAACTAAGATCTCACAGTTCTTATTTATTGCAGTTAGACATGTATGTTTACAAAAACACTGTTGTTACACCAGATCTTTGCAGTTTTCTCCTTATTCTTCAGACTCCAGTGCAAAATGCAAAAATAAAATAAAAAAATTAAAGTGATTTTTTAAAAAACAAGCACATACCTACCTTCTTGAAAGTAATGGAAAAATAAGAATACAGCAAAATTCCCTTAATGTATAAACAATGTACAAGACTGGAAACAAAGATGTCACAGTTTTTATTTATTCCTTTTAGGCATGTACATTTACAGAAAATTTTCAAGCCATTTCTTATTGCAGTTTTCTTCTTATTCTCCAGTGCAAAATGCAAAAATAAAATCTCAAACCAAAACTGAGATTATGCCTATTGCGCCCTCTTGTGTTAACATTGATAAATGATTTAAAGTTTTTACACCCCTACAATGTGTATTGTCACATATTTGAATTGCGAATGATGTATTGTTACACCCCTAGTAAAGGTGCTGGGGGCCTGCCTATATTAGAAGGGATTAAAATGGGAGCATTGATAGCGTAGGGCTTGCTTATCCAGTCCTCAACATGCTGGTTACATTTCAGAGATGAGAAACAGCCAAAATACCCAACAACTCTGTTCAGGACAAGCAGTTAGGCTGAATGGTATAGCCAAAATAATGGTGGTATGTTCAAAATCAAACAGACCTGATCCCTTCCCACTGGTGAACTTTGTTGTAATTATTGAACAATGGGTTAGGGTGAGGGTTGGTTAAAAGGACAGGATGATGGTGATACGATTATCAGATGCATGCATTTTCTGGGGCAGAAAACACAGCCATTGAGACCCACAAAAATGTCCACGCATGCGGATAATGTTATGACATATAATATTTCATCAAATTCAATACCACCAATAATATCAATGTCAGAGAATACAGTACATTCTGATGATATAAACTCTGTGAATCGAAACCAGAATCAATGACATTTGTATGATTTAATACCAATGACATTAGATGTGTTTCCAGTAAGGTTAGGAGTCAGACTCGATGCAGTGGATTGTTAATGTACAAAAGGAGCCCATCTTCACTGAATGCTCTCCCAGAAGATCAGTGTTATTTTGCTGTAACGATGGTGGGGTGACTTTTGAGGCATCAGTATCTTTCTCAGGGGGGCAGCAGCTGCTGAAGCAGGATAATAAAAACCAGGATCCTGCTGTCTTGGGTTTCTGAAGGCACTGGTCTCTCTGACAGGTGGGGAGCAGAAAATGGGGACCACCGCTGCCCCCTGGGCTGCTGCGGCAGCACCGCTCTGAAATGACGAGCGTGCTTAAACGAGAACCAGCCACCTAGGAGACTAAACGCTCAACGGCTCAGTGGCTCCGGAATTGCGCAAGCAAGAAGTAGAGCAACAGGACACAACATGAGTGTGTGAACGAGATAGACAATGAGGGTCCTTAAAGACCAGTAAAAACAGTGAACCTGCTTCCAGATGGCAGGTCAAAAACCTCCCTACATATTCAGCCTGACAAAAGTCATTTATAGTTATAAATATTCTGGGTCAGTGACACCATTTTTAGCTCAATAAATTGTCTTAGAATTAGACTTTTACATGATTGTCAGTATTTTATATCAGGCAGGAAGCTTTATGTAATATTGCTTATATTGAACCAAGCAGAGATAAATGGTTTCAGGCTGCTACACATGCAAATGTGGAAACAATTGAACCCTTCTTATCTTATACGTCTCTTCAGCTCTTTCCAGGCGGGCTTTTGAAGCCGAACTACACCCTAAATCCATAAAAAAACGGCCTATTGTAAGAGAGAGGAGACCATCGATCAGAATGTGTGGGTGTTTTATCGGGGATGAATGTGTAACATCTTGCCCCCGGATCTGCCTGTGCTCCCGTTGCAGTATTTACATGAGAATGGAGTGGTACACCGGGACCTGAAACCAGAGAACCTCCTCTATGCTGACCTTTCCCTGGATGCCCCTCTGAAGATAGGTGATTAAACACGTAGTCGTCAGAGGCTCACCTTTTGTTTCTGGGCATTGTTTACGTAATGACAATGTCACCAAAGGCTGTGGATGACACAAAGAAACGCAGACTGGTTTAAGTTTGACCAAGCTAAACTGTAAAAACCTGCTTTGACTAGTGGGACACATGCCATAAGACGTTCTTTTCACTGTCACAGCGGATTTTGGCCTCTCCAAGATCATAGACGACCAAGTGACAATGAAAACAGTGTGTGGTACTCCTGGGTACTGCGGTGAGTCGTTCCCCTTTACATCACTTTACGAGAGACAGATGACGCTCTGTGAATGCAGCTGCTAGACACGCATAACAGGACACAACATGAGTCAACACGTAACAGAAACCAGCGGTGACACACCAGGAACAAGTCAAGCGCTGCCGCCCAGGGACCCCGTACTGTGGACGTGACAGGCGCTTCTTCCGTCTCCCCTCAGCTCCGGAAATCCTCAGAGGCAGCAGCTACGGCCCAGAGGTGGACATGTGGTCCGTTGGAGTCATTCTCTACATACTGTGAGTTCAGATCAAACGAGGCTGTGGTGCATTCTGGGAAGTTCGGATTGTTTTGCTTTTGCAGAGGAAATATTGATGTGTGTTTATGCAATGTACATGTGTGTATGGTATATAAAACCACTATATTTTCATGCCTATGAATAACTGCCAGATTTTCTGTTTCCCATTCTTAGGCTTTGTGGATTTGAACCATTTTTCGACCCAAGGGGAGACCAATACATGTACAGCCGCATCCTTAACTGCGACTACGAATTTGTCTCCCCCTGGTGGGATGAAGTTTCCTTAAATGCCAAGGACCTGGTGAGGATTTCGAACAGGACAATGGGGTTATAAGAACTACAGTGCTAAATGATACTATATTCACAGTTAAATTTTGCCTATTACAAACGATTCTTTGAGGAAAATTTGTTCCAATCTAAAAAAAAAAAAAAAAAAAATTAAAAGCTTAATATGCGTCATGGCTTAATGATGTATTGCATCTAACTAAAGAGAGCAAAGTGAAGAAACAGATAAAATATCTACAGCCTATTAATAAATAAATATGCCCGTTTTTTTTTTTGTCATATAACCACTAATAAAAATGATGTTTGCTTAGTATGGGTCGGGCTGCTTGGGGCCGTGTTCTGAAATCCCTCCCCCCACTCTGTGTGATACGTGGGGGCAGGTCAGCAAGCTGATCGTCTTGGACCCCCGCAAGCGCCTGACGGTTCAGCAGGCCCTGCAGCACCCGTGGGTGCTGGGGAAGGCTGCCCGCTTCTCGCACATGGACACCACCCAGAGGAAGCTGCAGGAATTCAACGCCCGGCGCAAACTCAAGGTCAGCGCACCGCTCGTCGGGGCTCACTGCTTCACGGGGGCATGCAGGGAGCGCCGGTCTGGATCACCATCGGCAACAGGGTTACTTAAACCGGGTTTAGCAGAGGCTACATATTAAGCAGGTACCCACATATAGCAGCAAAGGCACTGCACTGTGTACTATAGTTATAATGACTTGTAGCACTTCAGCTTGCAGCTAAGACATTCAGTGAAGTTACACTGAAAATATGAAGTTCTTCTTTGTCCATCAACTGCTCTGTTTAGAGTGGTTCTTCCATGCACTCACTGGATTCTCTCGTGGTATAGTCCCTAGCAGGATATTCTTGCCGTTTTCTGCAGGACATTCTGTTGGGGTTCCGCACGTCTCGTCATTTTACCGCTCCTCTGGACAGATGCCTTGTGTGTTCTCTTGGGTCTATACTATTTCAGAAATCTGACATTTATTACTGAACAGTTATACTGCTTGACAAGAAGTGGCTTGCACTGGCTCTGTTTTGCATTTGGTATCTGCTCTTCCGCACCAACAGTGAGATTTGTTCCCCAAGCAGGCTGCGATGAAAGCAGTGGTGGCCACCAGCCGCATGCACGAGGGTTCCCGGCGACGCACTGACAGCTGCGAAAGCCCCGGGTCCGACAAGACCGCTCAGGAGAAGAGCGTGCAAAAGAAGTCATCCCCGGACTGCCGGAGTCAGCAGAGTCACACCAAAGACACTCCTGACCTCACTGATGAAAAGGCTCCACCACCAAGTCAGTCCTCCCCGCTAATTCATGCTCTTCCACAATGCAGCCCAAAGAAACCCGCTGCCCGTCCACTGCCTACAGGATGCCCTCCTGGCCTCCCGCCCACCCGGCCGCCCCTGAAACCAGACGGACTCAAACAACTGTCCGTCATCCCTAAAACTGCAGTCGTACGGCCCCGAATCACTGCAAAGAGCTGCTCAGTGGCTCCGGTAGACAAGCGGGAGCCCTCCCCAATCCTACCTACCCCCCCGAGCCCCAGAAATATCAGCAATGGCTTTATGGTGGAGGTAGAGACCAGCAACAAGACAACTCAGTGTCAGTGACTGTGAGTACTGCAAGAATCATAAGGAAACGGGGACTCATTTTGTGGCAGGAGGTTAAAGATACATCATGGTAATGTCAGGAGGAAAAAACACTATTCTGCCCACTTCCTGTGTATACTGATTCACCAATGACAGTTTCAGACATCGTCATTTTCTGTTCCAAGTGGTGATTTCTGGAAGGCAGCCATTGCTGCCAGTTACCATCCTTGCCTCCATCAAATATTTGCTCTTTTTTTTTTTTGAGGACACCCTCAACAGCAATTTCAATCAGTTTGGCATTTAATAATAGTCTTGGCACTTCCTTTCCGCTTCTTAAGCATTTGCACACTAAAGACAGAAATGTCTGACATATACGAATAGGATGAAGGTGTCTATTTCTTTTTGTAACAACTGTATAAGAACTTGTTTTTATTGTGAAAGCCATTCAACGCAAAAATGCTCTCTGATGCTCTTCGTCCTTCATGCATCTCCTTTACTACACATAATTTGTTTTTCAGGGTGAGTGAAATTCACACGGAACGGTTTTGGGTCCTTGTCATATAGAAAGAAGATGGTACTTCCTCTCTATATAGAGAAACGTCATTAGGTCCTGGACACAGGACAGTCTCCTGTTTAAAGAGACACTACAGATGTCATGAGGCATATTTTCAAAGGAGTCAGTTATATGTTGAACTGACAACATTACCCTTTATTTTAATTCACTATCTACCTCGTGACTGCACTGGAATCTCAAAAATGGAATGCTGGTCATTTGATTTAATTCGATACATTTTCCACAGTCACACTTTTGATCTCCATCCCCATATGTTTTCTATCAAAGGGCTGCACACGGTGGACCCCAGATATATAGCAAACGTTGAATCTGTCCCCAGTTAGGAAGTTCGGATCTCCTTGGTTAATTTGTGTATACTGTCGCTCGCCAGACAATTGTGCAGATACAGTAAGAGTATCATTGCTAAACAAGAGATTTGCAAAAGTAACTGAAGCATCGATAGCAATGGACAGGGGACAATTAAAAAGGGTGATAATTGGCTAAATCTGTACGATGGTATATGAATATAGATTTTACCAGTATCATTGCTTTAAAATGCTGTTTAAAATATCGTCATCTTAGGCAAAGTTCGTGCTTGTTATGATGTTACAGTGTTAAATGTTTTGCTTAATACACGTAATGGGTAGTCTGAGATTTGAGCATTTTTGAGATGTATGAATGGTGATGCAGATTTACCAATATCTTTAATTACCATACAGCGGTAACCACCTTTAACTTAACCTTTTCCTGAACTTTGAATAAATACATGCTTAAATGACTGTTTATTTTGATGTCAAGTTGTGTTATCGGAATACGCGACAAGCTGCCCCATGACCCTGTACCAGATAAGCAGTTGGAGGATGGGAGGAAGAACGGATGGATGGAGGACAAGTAGCTATGGCAGATGTGGTGCCTATTACTAAAAAGGAAGGTTTTTCTTAAAAATGGCGTCCCATTCTGCTGCTTTGTCTGGTTCTTCCTGCATGGGCTACAGACTCACTCAAATGATCTGTACAATACATTGTTTTCTCCAAGCTTATATTTCGCGATAGACATTTAACTTAATTATGTTTATATGAAATCTGGTAATACCATCAAACGAAAATTACAGTGATTTGTACATATTCTTTGCAAACGGATTTGTTTTGTCTGACAGTTTTAGTTCCTAAGAGAATAAGAACTAATACAATCCACAAATCATTCACTTACCAAGCCTGAATTGCTTCCGTACTGTAAGTATGTAGCTGCATAAATGGTGTAATTATAAGCCTTTGGATTAGAGTGTCTAAGAGAAACAATTGTATTACAATACATAGTTTGCATTATGGTTGATTAGGTATGGGGAAAGTATTCATATTATCTGAACCAATTTTTTTATTTATATATGGCTAAAGTGGTTATCACTATATAAACTGGCATACCAATGAATTGTCCTATTTTTAACTAATGATTATTATGCATCGTTACCGAAAATATAGTTGCTCACCATTGAGCATCGTTAATACTCTGTACTACTTTACATAAAGTATGTTGTCACTCTTTCACTATAATAGGAAGTGCATTAAATGCAACAAATTATAGATGCAGACAAAATTATGTAGCATAAATAAGTTTCACTGTGAATCACTGCATTATAAGGGATCAAATGCTCTGGAAATATTATTGAACAGTTTACAAATAATGTCATTCATTAATAAAAATGTGTCAATTTATTCGAGTTCCTAGACAGCTTTATTCTACATAAATACAGATATGTAGTACATACAGCACATACCTGCATAAATGCCTGCATATATGACGGATTCGTGCATAAGCTCCAGCCGCCCGTCTGTATAGCAGATGACTTGGAACATTTAAAATGCATCAAAACAAAACCGGTTTCACAAGGAGAGAAAAAAAAACCTGTTTAGTTACGGCGGCGCGCGGTGCGAGCGCGTGCACGGCTCGGGTCAGAAGGAAAGCGACCAATGGGAGCGCGAGAAGAGCGGCAGTGCTGCGCGTTATGAAGCGCACCCTCTGTATGCAGTATGTGCATGGAGGCTCATCACGGGGTTCAAATGCGGCTGAAGGCTCCGGCGCCCTTTTATTAATTTGCAGTCCCACGCCGTTAATTTTAATTACGTCGAAGTCATGAGTGACTTGAGAAGAATATCTAAAATAACTCTACGGATCGCGTGCCAGTGTTTATGGGTAAGGAAATTACAATCACCAAGTGGCTCATAGCATCGATGGCATAATCTTCAAAACATGGTCGTTTTTGTTTGTCCGTGGTATGAAATACGTGGCACAAATTTAGTTACGCCTTACACAGAAATGTCTATCATTTTTTGAAGTTGTCCATTTCGTCTGTGTTATAGTAATACATTTGAATATTTTGAGAGTCGCACTCTTGGATGTATTGAACAACCTCGTAGGCACCCAGATCTGCTTTATGTGTAAAACCTCGTTAAATTCACATTAGTAATAATAAGTTTTATTTATATAGCGCCTTTCTCACACTCAAGGACGCTTTACAATGCAAACAGTTAGTGATGATGATTACTTGGCTGTTCAGTTCATCTAGTCCTGTGCTCACTAGGAAATGTTTGTCAGAAAAGGAAGTTCTGTAACGCAGGATAACATTGTCACATGACTTTCATGATGTTATTTTCACTTTTATTTTCACAACTTAATAATCGCATGTGTTCAGTTAGACTCAAGTTGCATCTAATTTTTTGGTTGGTTAAGAACTTCCTGTGCTTTTCCTGGGCTGCCATTATTAAAATATTTTAGGACAGGGGTGGCCAGTCTCATACAGAAAAGACCATTGTTGATGCAGGTTTTTGCCTCAACTTACTAATTAAACTAATAATTGGAGGACTGATTGGCTGAAGAGTCCTCACACCTGGGTTTGAACAGGTGACCTGAAGGCTTTCCCAAAAACCTGCACACACACCGGCCATTTGTGGATAAGATTACAGCAGGGCTGGCCAGAGTAATTGTTTATTTACTCGAACAGCCTTGTAAGGAATAACCAATAATGAGCATTTACGGTTCATGTGGGGCTTTTCCCCTCCCCAGACTGAGGGACCCCCCCCCCCATGCTCGGCAGGTGTACAGGCCCGCCTAATCCGATGCTCCTCTGTCTCTTGTTGTATTGCAGCTCGCCGCTCTGGTAGTGGGCTTGAGTGGCATGTACCTGCTGGTAAACTTCAGGCAAACTGGACTGCTTTTCCACAACATCTACTTAATCTTACCTGCGATCGTGGCCCTGATCAGCGCGGCTGTCCTGCTCGCCAGCGGGGGCATCGGCTGCTGGATGTCCATCAGGGACAGCACCGTGCTGCAGGCTGCGGTGAGATGCTTTATACAGCTACAGTGCAAGGATGACACCAGAGGTAAAAGCCAGTCATCTGTCCCTCCATCCATCAGGCATCAAAGTCACAAAGGGCCCTTCCAGTAGGGCTGGGTGATATATCGATATTATTTTGTGCATGCGCAATAGTCACCAGGGCTTCAGATAACGGGAGAACCATTTAACCGGACGCCAGCTTTTAGGTACTATACAGACATTTATTTACACCCACAATTTGTTATGCAGATTATAAGTGCAGATTATATTGATGAGGCATTTTATGATACCCAGAAGTTAGTAATCAGTATAAATTTGGCATATTTTAATGTTTAATAAACATGTCAGATTTTAAACTGCAAAAAGTGCCATCACACAACCGGTGTCTTTTTACCTTGTTTATCCACAAGATCTCCTCTTTTAAAAGATGTCTTGGCTACTGAGCTGTTACTTCATTCACCGCCACTCTAGTGCATATCGCATATTGGGCTGAAGTATACCAAACCATAGTATACCAAAACAGTATTATGTGGTGTACTCCCCTACAGTGCATATCACACTGAAGTATACCAAACCGTAGTATACCAAAACAGCATTATGTGGTGTACTCCGCTACAGTGCATATCACACTGAAGTATACCAAACTGTAGTATACCAAAACAGTATTACGTGCTGTGCTTCGCTGCAGTGCATATCTCACTGAAGTATACCAAAACAGTATTATGTGCTGTGCTGTGCTCTGCTCTGCTAACCGAATCTAATAAACATAGATAGGCCGAGGTCATACAGATTACTAACTTTTAGGTGTCACAAACGGCATCTCATTAATATTTTAGGCGCACTACTAATCTGCTTACCAAATTGTGGGCGTAAACAAACGTCCAAATTGTACTGAAAAGCTGCCATCTGGCCAAATGTTTCGCCTGTCATCTGAAGCCCTGGTAATTATTGCGCACGTGTGGTATAATATCAATATCATATCGCCCAGCCCTACTGGAAGGGTGTACCCCTGCCTTTTACCCCATGCTGCCTACGTCTGGTTTCAGGTTCACTTCGAATGTATGATGGATGGATGGATGGATGGATAAATGGCCTTTATTTACTGGAGTTACACTCAAACGTGATCAGTTGATATACACTCAGTGACAAAAAAAGTTAAGCACCAAAACGGAGTGGTGGAAATTAAATGAATCTGCTCATGGTGAAAGGTCATGTGACTGTATCGCAATGATTATAATATCAGATCAAATGGACAACAGAGTTGGCAGTATGGGCACACTGCTGGCACCCCCCTTAGTCTGGATACATGAGGCGATACGGCCCAGAAGGGAGTCGTACAGCCGTTGTATCCTCTCCTGCGGCCCACAGCTGTTGTAACTGGCCCTCGAGATCCTGCAGATTGGCACTGGGTCTGAGTTGGTGTCTGAGCTGATCCCACACATGTTCAATTGGGGAAAGATCGGGGGACCTGGCTGGTCACGGGAGGACCACAGCATGACGCAGGCAGTCCATAGACACACGCGCCGTGTGGGGATGGGTGTTGTCTTGTTGAAAGACTGTACCAGGGCGCTGTCTCTGGAGGGGTGAGACATGCGGACGCAGTATGTCACTGGCGTAGCGCTGTGCCGTCAGGGTCCCCTGAATCACTACCAGAGATGACCTGAAGTCATACCCTATGGCTCCCACACCATGATGCCAGGAGTAACGCCGGTGTGACTCTCCACAACATTAGCAGGATTGGTCTTCTCCCCTCTGCGCCACCGTGCCCACACACGATGGTCAACCATGGTAATGCAGAACCGTGATTCATTGCTGGATATGGTACGACGCCACTCGTCATCAGTCCATGTCTCCCGGTTACGGTATCACTCCAAATGCTGGTGTTAATGGCAGCCTACGCATGGGGTGGTGAACCTGTAGTTCAGCTGATGCCAGTCATCGAGACACGGTGCAGGATGACACGGGGTGTTGTAGAGAGTCTGTGTCTGGATGGCAGGCACAGATGCCATGGTGCTCTGTAATGCTTGGCACACAATATGACGATCTTCCGTTGGTGTGGTCTATCTTGGGTGACCGGAACCTTCTCGACGTGTGTGGGTGCCCTCATGTGCCCATTGGTTCCAACACGGGGTGACTGTAACATCTGCATGCCCCACATGCTGGGCAATTGCACGATACGACCACCCGGCCTCCTGCAAACCCACAATGAGACCCCTATCAAACTGGTAATGCTGTCTAATGCGTCTCTGAGGCATCCTCTGTGTCTGGTGACTAGACATGACAGCTCCTTCCAAATCAAATAATTTAGAGTGTAATACAGAAGACCTGACAAGTTTTCTTTAAGATAATTCACGATGCAGCCTGTCAGTAGTTACCAAAGATACAGATTGCTAACTTTTAGGTGCCGCAAAAGGTTTCACATTAATATTTTAGGCGTACTACTAATCTGCTTACCAAATTGTGGGCGTAAATAAACATCCGTATAGTACCGAAAAGCTGCCATCCGGCCAAATGTTTCGCCTGTCATCCGAAGCCCTGTTAATTACACTGTAATACAGACCTGACAAATTTTCCTTAAGAACTCGTGATACAGCCTGTCAGTAGTCGCCACATCACTTTTCTAGTACCTTCTAGTAGAATCTTAGGAATCTTATGATCATACGCACAGGTGTATTTGCATACATCTGGATCTCTGTTTAAATGTAAGATTTTAATATGTGATCTTTCACAAGACCTACCCTTTGACTGTAATGGTAAACAAACCCGTTTTTAATGCTTTTTTTCAGTTTGTATATCTGCTCGTCATTGTATTTTGCCTTGAGGCTACAGCATCTGTCCTGTCCTACGTGAACATAGGCAAGGTAACGTGATTAACTGGTTTAATTAATTAAAGCTACGGAACATTGTAATTTTTCATGTCACCTTAATCTTAGCATTTAATTTGATTATGGTGCCATCTGTACTCACTTCTAGGTGCATTCGGAATTTGAGCCTTTTTGGGGGATGTTTCAGAATTACACTGGCAACAAGCAGGACTTCAATTCTAACGCAGTGGATGCCATTCAGGAAGAGGTGTGTTAATTATAAATATTTTGTTTTCAGTGAAATCAAATTTTCCAACATAAGCTTGGCATCTGTTATATTTTGTGAATTATTTAATTCACCCAGGATGTGTGTAGTTTCAATAATTCATGTTCAGCTGATTAGCATTTTAAGAAATGTTGTCATTCTATTATGCATGTTTTATGTACACAAGTAACGGTTTCTGTTGGATATGAGTATAAATCTAATGTAATTTTGAGAGCACATTTAAGACGACAAAGGTCGACTAAATTGTGGGACAAGTCAAATGCAACTAAGACAGACAGGAATAAGAGCTAA